TGGCCCAGGATCGAGCATTGTTTCGTTCTGCTGTGCATGGGGTCGCTATGAGTCGGTTCCGACTCGATGGCACCTGACAACAACAACAATGTTGTTATTGTTAAGTGCCATCAAATTTTTATGTCAATGAGGCAGTATTATTGTAGGGTATATCTTAAGTCAATCTCTTCTGAGATATAAAAAGTATAGAATGAGCAAGAGACAAAGCAGGTAAACAACTGGGGAAAAGAAGTTCCAAGCCACATGAAGATCGTGCAGAACAGACGCTCAAAAGAAACAAGGACCTTCTCTACACCGACTGATACACAAAGGCTTCCCCTAGAGTCCTGCATTGATACTTGTATTCTAAACTGTGAGAAAATACATGTGTTTATTAATGCCACCCATTTATGGTATTTCTGTTATAGCATCATTAGACAACTAAGCCAGAGACCAATATTAAAAGCTCCACTGAGGCCTCTGAGACTCTAAACAAGGGCATCAACAGACTCCTATTTGTTTGAAAGTGCAAGACATCTTTTAACAGCAATACTATGTACTAGTGAGAAGCAACAGTGAGAGTGAACTAATGAGACAATAGACTTTTTCCCCTCCTTCTAGAGTTTGGAAGTAAAACTGATCCCTTTACATTGAATAAGTCTCTATGGTTCATGAACTACTGTGGAAAAGAAGATATAACAAAAGAAAGGTACTAATGAATGAATGACTCTGTTTGTACCCAATACTGGTAAAGATAAAAGAACACTAATATTTGGAATTATTAAAATTAAGCACAGGCTTTTGTGCACCATCCCCGGCTTGATTAAGCATGTGCTACCAATTGCTCTGACTCTCATGTTCTTGCTGCTCTTAATCTGAAGATGCATGCAACACACTTTGCTCTTGAAGCAATCACTTTGCAAAACCAAAATACAGCTGAGACCTAATTTAGGTTCTAAAACTGTGTAGCCTAGTCTCTGGAAAGCAGATTTTCTCTAGCTTTCTGGTCAATTCACACAACTTATTTGCTATAGCTTAATTTAGAATCCTATTCACACCAAACACTTTTAATTCCATGGCTGGAAGCCACAGACCTTCTGGAGTTTCAAACCAAATCTAGTTTCTAAAATGAGGTCAGGTGGGAACCACTCCATTTGGAGCAATGCAGAGGCAAACAGAACAGAACAGTAAAAACTTTACCACTGCAACCCAGTCACCTTTTTTGGAACATTATATTGTAGTTTGGGTGTAAGTGTACTGAGAAAATTAGTTTTCCATTCAACAATTTATACACATTTTGTTTTGTGACATTGGCTGCAACAACTTCAATATCACAGTCCTCTTTCTCTCTGGGTCCAGTTTCATTCGCCCATTTTTCCTGGTCCTTCCTGCCTTCTGAACTTGGTTTTGGGGAAAATGCTACCCTTTAGGTCTCAGATGGGTGATTGTTCTGAGAAGCATGTTCCTCACAGGTGCTACTGTGCACTTTGTAGGCCTGTCTATTGTTTGCGGAAAGGACTCTGGGATAAGGTTCACATGAAAGGTGTCTACGGGTCATAGACCCAGGGGTTAAGACCAATAAGTCTGGTTGTTTTTATGATTTTTAATGCTGTTCTAGGTTTTCTCCCACTGTGTCCTCGACCATCTACTGTGAACCCGATCAGAGAGGTCAGCAGTGGCAACCAGGCACCATCTAGTTCTCTAGTCTCAGGCTAGTGGAGGCTGCGGTTTACAGTATCCATTGGTTCTTTGGACTGTTTCCTTGAGCTTTCATTTTCTTCATTCTTCTTTGATGCAGATGGGAAGAGACAATAGTTGCATCATAGATGACTGCCTCAAAGCTTCTAAGACCATAGGAACTATTCTGGATGTAGAACACTATCTTTTTGGACTATGTTAAGCCAATTTACCTTGATGTCCTGAGACCCCTTCCCTCTCTATTGTCTGAACGGGTACTAGAGGGAAGTTACAAGGACAACCATGCCTTTTCTCCCAAATAATCAATTGTTACCCCTTGTTGTCTATTCTTTTTAGGAAAGCAAGCCTACTTTGTACATTCATTTGGAATTCAGGCATGCTGCAGCCTCTTAGATACTAGAATCACAAAGTCAAATGAAAAAGGCCTCCGGATTCATGGCACTAGCTTCAGCTACTATTGTCTTGGCTCTTCTAGCTAAAGACAAATGAGCCTCCCTCAAATGAAATAGACCAAGAGGAAATGACATCATTGGGACTGTAGGCACAGCTTTTAAAAGTGGGCAATGTAAGGCTTGGCTCAGGAATAGGAAAACTCCATTAGCTTTTGGCAAGCATCCTTTCTTTCCCTAAAAAAGAGCCAGAATTCAGCGAAGCAGTGAGGAGAACATATCTCACTGGGGGTAAAAGTGGCAGGCAAATCACTATCAAGCTGTTCATTACCCTGTCAGAGGCCTAATCTTCCTTCTTCCTCTACACATTCCCACACTTCTCAGAGCTCAATTCCCTGAAAGCAGAGACTTTAAGAACCTTCCTCATATTCTTAAAGACTGTCTCAAAAACTAGCAGCAAAACTTGTCAAAACTATCAAGACATTAGGTGAGAAAATGAAGATTATGGGGCTTTAAAACACTGTCAGGTTATTTTCGAGAAACTGTTTTAATAAAACAATAAAAAACTAGACAAAGATAAAAAACTTTGTTCAACTCACCTTAATACAGCCAACTATTGTAGTTGTAAGAGCAGAATTATACTGAGTGCAGAGTACTGTGGCGTACATCAAGATAAACCTGGGGTGAAGAAAGAGGAGCGAGCTTGTAAGACTCAGCGGCACATTCTAGTCACTGACCGACTGTGCGCATTCCTCACCTCCCTGCTGCTTGTACCGCAGCTTCTAAGGCAGAGAGGTTTTTTGTTTTAAATTTAATTAAACAGAAACACATGCTCATTTCTGCTCAGGTGTTTTTTTGTTTTTGTTTCTCACCAAGAGAGCACTGTGGCTCTGTAGGATAAGCACTGGACTGTCAACCACAAAGTTGGTGGTTCAAGCCCACCAGCCACTTTATGAATGACAGTTGAGGCTTTCTGTTCCTGCAAAGATTTACAGACTCAGAAACACTATACAGGGTCTCTATGAGTCAGAACCAACTTGACGGCCCTTAATAACATCATTCATAATCATGAGTACTCTTTTCAAATCATACTTCCTACTAATTCACTTAAAACATATAAAGTTCAGAACTTAGAAACCCAGTTCAGATGTGCATCTCCCAGACTTCCAGGCCAGGGTGAAGATAAAAGTAATTCTTAAGGATGGACGAGAGCCTTATTAGAACTAACTGTAGAGGAATACAGGTTCACATAACAACAAAGAAGGAGCAGTTGGAACTTCCAAATTTACACTGAGGCTTCTCAGCCTGACTCAATACCAAGGTACCATGTCAACTAGACTTTAAAGCCCCCACTCACTATGTGTCTAACCTGTGTCAGATCCATTCACAAGCATCAGCTGAAATGACAGACTGAGGGGAGGAAATGCATTAAAGAAATCATATTAAGGTGAGAAGAGGTCTATTTGCATTTACCCTCTGACCTACTGGTCAGATTTACTACATGGTAGAAAGGTGTCAAATTTAAATGCTGCCACTGCCACCTAATAATTGTGCAAACATAGACAATTTACTTAAGTTCTGAACCTAATTCCTCAAATGTAAGGGAACAAGAATATTTGTCAAATGGTTCAAACAATGTATAGTGAAAAATAATGGTGCTTATCAGATAGTTGGTTAGGGATCACTGAGTTGTCACATAAGAGACCCCACGTGACAGACACAGGAGAACTGCCCCCTAGAGTTTACTTGGCTATAATCTTTACAGGAAAGAACCTGCTGTCACTGTGAACTAGGACTGGGCTGCTAACCACAAGTTCGGTGGTTTAAACCCACCGGTCACTCTGCAGATGAAAGATGAGGCGGTTTACTCCCATAAGGATTTACAGTCTCAGTGACTCCCATTAGGGGTAAATTGGAATTGACTCTCGTCAACAGGAAACTTTATTAGAACATATCACCAGGTTCTTCTCCCATGGAGATGCCAGATGGGTTCAAACTACCAACCTTTCAGTTAGCAGCTGAGTGTGTACCTATTATACCACCAGGGCTCCTTTATTGGTAATATTGGTTTCTTTTTCCTTTTTAAAAAAAATTTCAACATGATTTTGGAATCAGTTATTCCTAAGGCCATCACAGGCACCTGACTCTAGAGGCTTCATTATCCTACTTTGATAGATTTAGGAAACCTGAACAGGATTCTGAGAAGAAATGAGGCAGAAGGAACTTATAAAAAATGATCCTGACAGCTGATGAAAGGGACAACCTTGTATCTGACATAGTTCTCAAATTTTTCTGTAAAAATGGTGTGGCAGGGGTGTCTGTCCTTTCAATACACAAGGGGGAAGGAGAATCAAGACCAACAGCCCAAAGATGATTCCTCTGAGCTGGAGATCAATCTCTTCTCTCCAACCTCTTTATCAATTCTGACACCAACCATCCCTTCCATGGCATGGCACTCTTTACTTCTTATTCTTGGTTGCCTGTGGAATGTCATGGGTGGCTCTAAACAAAGTTATTCCCAAGAATTTCACCATTTGGACAGGGTCCTGGATTTTTGCCAAATATTTTAACCAATCTTTGTTGGTTATGTGGACTATCACTGTTTTGAAATCTGACCTAAACTGTTCTTCAGTGTTTAATATTAACATAATATTATTAATGCTGGTAGCGTAGTGGTTATGAATCGGGCTGCGAACCTTAAGGTCAGCAGTTCGAAACTACCAGCTGCTCCGCGGGAGAAAGATGAGGCTTTCTACTCCCGTAAAGATTTACACCCTCGGAAACCCTGTACAGGGTCACTATGGGTCGGAACCAACTCGATGACACATAACAACAACAACAACAATATTACAATTGAGATCTGTGCCAAGTCCAAGTCTCTAATCAAACTATGACAATAAGTTGGTGAATTCAAATAATTCTTTGGCAATACAGTAAAAGTAAATTGGAACACTTCCCACGTGAAAGTAAACTGTGGCTGGCTCTTTTCTGAGATTGGAATTTTTCTTAAAAAAGACATTTGCAAACCCAGTCACAGAATACCAATTAGCCTGCTATTATTTTCACATACCACGTTAGAACAGCTTAAGCCACAGGGGGCACTACTTTACTACTTCCAGGAGTCCTGATGGCCTATGGGTTACCTGTTGGGCTGCTAACCACAAGGTCAGCAGTTTGAATCAGCTACTCCATGGGAGACAGATGAGGCTGTCTGCTCCCTTGAGGATTTACAGCCTTGGAAACCCTTCAAGGGCAGTTCCACTCTGGAATTCACTCCTATAGGGTTGCTGTGAGTTGGAATTGACTCAGTGGCAGTGAGTTTGTTTTTCTGTTTGTTTAGTTTACTTTCACATTACAAAAGGCAACTATCTTTTTCCACAAGCCACAGAGGGCAGTTATAAACAGAATTTGTTGGCACCATCACTTCAACTTTTAGTATGTCATTAATCAAAGCAATAATCTCTTGTCTACAGGGGATCCTATTAAAATTAAATTAAATTAATTTGAAACTAATATGTTTTACATTATTAAAATAAACTCAGTTTTCAAATAAAATCCTGATTGGGGTTGGGCAATTCTAATGGTTCCCATTTATCACATCTAATCAATACTGGCTAAGGACAGACTTACATGCCTTTGGTTTTACAATATCAAGTAGAGAGAATATCCCACAATTGGACATAATATCCATCTAATAACATATTCTGGTAAGGGAGATAGATACAACTACTTCATACAAGATGTTTACATTATCCAATCCCTAGTCCCATCAACCAATGCATCCCCATGCCCCCCGCCAGTCTAAACTTTGGCCCTTCAAGATTTTATTGACAGGTTTAAGGATTACAGTACATTTGGCCCCTGTGCCCAAGAGCCCCCCAAAAGTCTCTCCCCTACCCCCACACCATTTCACCCACACATGTGTGTATGATCTCAGGTCCCCTGCTGAAAGCTGGACTAGATCTGGTCACCTTATCAATCCTTATCTTAATCAACTAGCTGAGCCTCTGCTTCAAGTGGTCTCAACTGGAACTTCTCTTCATTAAATTCCTCCCAAGTGGGGTCTAGTCCTCTTTAAGGTCTGGAGACCAGAAAGAGGTCCCAACTTCCTGTGGTGCTGTATTAGAACCTTGTATCAGCTCCATCAATGTCTACTACATTCATGTCATTTCTTAGTAACCACCTTGCTGCACTAAGTTCTTTCCCCATTGCCTCATTCTGTTCTATGAATCACCCTTATGTTTCTTCCATCTACAAGACCCATGTGGAAAAGCTATGCCAACAGATCCCACAAGGCTTCTTGAATTGTTGCTTCATTTCACAGTAGAAGGGGACCCCTTGGTTACCATCTCTACTACAACCTGTGTAAGGGCACACTCATTAAATGAATATCCTGATCACCGTAAAGCCATCCCAACATTGCTTCCATAAGCAGCACATCAGTTGCTTCCTCTAGAGTGCCCCACTGGGTTTTTTAGCAGTTTCCCTTCAGAATAAACAAATCTCACAGCAAACTTTGCAGTCCACCAGGCTGGCTGTCCCTTCTAGGTTAACCTGCTGTGTAACTGGATCTTTCATCATTCCCGTAACTGGATCTTGCATCATTCCCGTTCTAGAGTAAGCCGTGGATCTTGCATCAACCCAAACATACTTTTGCATTTTATAGCATCCAAAACGAAAGGCACTGCCTCTAAACTAGTCACTCTCACAATTCATTTTAATAGCAGTTCCTCAGGAAGTTGATGAACAATCTACAAAATGAAGGCCTCTACACTAAACCTCCTGGTTTCAATAGTTTCTTGGTATGGGCTGTTCCCCTTCTGAACTAACTTTTTTGGTGGACTGAGGTCATAGGGGTGGTGACGGTGGTGGTCGTGTGCTGTGGAGTCGGTTCCGACGCAGTGACCATGCATAGCATTTCCGAGGCTGTAAATCTTTATGGGAGCAGAAAGCCTTCTCTTTCTCCAGCGGAACAGCTAATAGTTTCAAACTGCTAACCTTGTGGTTAGCAGCCCGATTCGTAACCACTATACTACCAGATCATAGGAGTACTTCCTGTTATTCTGACACAATTTTGCCTTTCTGGGTTGTCACTGAGACTAGCAGTCTTAGCTCCGACTAGGACTAGATCTGTGCTTGGTTTATGGTACAATCTGCCCCAACATTCTTTTTCCTGCCCTTGCAACTGTTACTGATAACAGCAACCAAAGAGTTGTATGTCTTGCTCTTTCCTTATCAGTCTGAACTCTCTTACGCAGTCAGCTAGCCAATTCCTTAGGAGCTAAACACACCACTCCTACTTCCCATGAACAGCTTTTGCCTTGCAACATAACAGTTGCTTCAATCTATGAGTGTTTTTAATCCTATCCAGAAACCAAAAGTTTTATTCTCCTGTTTATCCTCTTTGTTTCAAAACCACGTACACCAGTGAATCTGAGCCACTGAAGCAAGTCCTACCATTCTGATATCAAATAAGGATCAGCACAAAGCTGGTTCCTATGAGATGGAAGTTAAGCATGTCCCAAACATTCGATTTTTCCAAGCTGCTGTATCATTCCATTATCTCTAACATCAACTACTCTCTCTCCCCTCAGTACTCTCCCTCCCATCTTGGGTTCACTGCAAATGCCTCACAGAACTCACAAACTATACTTGAAGTTGAGTGGTTTATTAGGGAAGTAACAGGGTACAACTTGGGACCAGGATCAACCTGGAAGTAAAAGGACCAACTTGGGATGCAGTTCCTTGATCAGGACAGTTTCTTCTTATCCTCTGCTGCTGGGTCCTACTGGGACTTTACTGCAACCCTGTCCTGTGGGGACCTTCTTGGGCAAGTGTTGTGACTCTTAGCTCCATGGGTCAGAAGGCCTCACCATAGCCATCATACTGGTCTCTTAATTCTTGCTGTCTCATGCTGCTATCTCTCTTGCTACTGCTGTACCACTATCTCTTGCTGTCTTCTAGGTTACAGTCACCACCCCCATTGTCTCCTGGGCCTAGGAGATACTCAGCACAGGGATCCTGGCTTCAATGGACATGCTCCACTTGCAGCTCTCTCCTGTCTTGGTGGTTGTCAGATTCCCCTCTGTGCTCTAAGACTGGGTCTCTTTTAAGCCTAGCAGGATGGCAAAACTGAATTTTCCCTTCATTGTTGTTGTTGTTAAATGCCATTAAGTTGGTTCCAACTCATAGCAGCCCTGTACATGGTCTCTGAGGAGTGGTTAGTGGGTCTGAACCACTGACTCTGCAGTTGGTAATCCAGTGTTTATCCTATAGCGCCACATCACGCCTCCCTTCACTAGGGTTCCATATACCTTGTTTGTTTGGAACCACCCCCAGGGGTTTCATGCACCTTACTGGCATTATTAGCAAGCTATCTAATCCCCTTGTGGACCAGGAGCACCTTATTTGCATAGTCGACCTAGTTGTTTGGTGGGCATTACAAAGACTATATATAGGTGAAAGGGTCATATTAAGTAACTCACTGAACCACAATTTCTCTAAGAAAACTATATGAAAACAAGGTAGCAAAAGCTTACCCCATCACACAGGAGAGGGTGAACTGTAGAAGAAAAAGGGTGTCGGCCCAGCCTTCAAAATCCATTGCCTGTAATACATAAGAAAGCATCCAATTTTAGAGCAAGGCTTTAAAATCACCTGTCTCATCATTAATCAAATTTATTTCTATGCACCTGCTGCCACTATGCACACTTATGCATTCCTCTGCATCACTCCAAGGACAATGATTGATGTTCGAGAATTTCATCCAATTAGAGTTGGAACTAATAAGCAGTTTCAGAAGGTCTTTTCCATTTCTAATACATTAGGGGAAGACTGTGTACTTCTCTCTATTGATGCAAAGAAACTGGCATCTGCCTGAAAGCACAGTCAGATCTGGCTATCTCAGCAATTCTCATGAATGACTGTTAAGGTGCTATTATTAAAGACTTCCTCAAATAATGAAACTTTTTTTCTCCTTTTATATGCAAATGTACACAAGTTCAACTGAGGCCTGTTCAAAAATGGGGAGGAGTATTGCTTTAAAACACTTAATTCTGAAAATAAGATTTAAGTGAAAAAAAAAAGGGGGGGAATGAAAAGGTGCATTGAACCATCTCATCTCTGAGTCAAGAAGGAGAGCTTTTCTCTCAAATGCATAGATTCTCTTGCAATACACGCTTAATAAACAAATGTGAGAAAACATTCCCTCTTTTTAAAATCTCCCTGTCAACTTTTCATGCCACTTTTGACATTTCAAATCGCAAGGCTTCATGGGCTCCAGAAATACCAGACTCCTTGTGGTTTTTAAGACATGACATGCAGTTTGACACTTACTTCTCTTTACCTAGAACACCCTTCCCCTCTACACCTGTCTGACTCCAGTTCCCCTCAAAACAAAACTCAAGCATCAACTTTCTGGGGAATTTCCTGATCAAGTACTCTTTCTTTTGTGCCTCAGCAGTACTTATCTCTAGGGCTCTTATCCTTCTAAGCTACGAATATTTCTTTACCGTGTGTACAGAACACAGTGGCTGCAACAATGGAACCCAAATAGCAATGATTGTGAGGATGGCACAGGACTGAGCAGTGTTTAGCTCTGTTGTATACACGGTTGCTGAGTTGGAACCAGCTCACCAACAACAAGCACAACCACACACACCTGGTAAGTCCGACAGCCTAGATCTCTAATAGCAATCCTAACACTTGACAGTTTCGTTCTTTTTTAAACTTTGTTGAAGTTTCATTTACAAAAAAAAAACCAAAAAAAACCCTCCAACTTTAAGTGTACAATATAGTGAATTCTAACAAGCATAGTCATGTAACCAACAGTACAATTGTGACAAAGAATATTGCCTTTACCCCATAAAGCTCCTTTCTGCTCTTTGCTGTCAACTCTTTTCCCCACTTCCAGCCTTTGGCAATCTCGAAACCACTTTCTGTTACTTGGATTTCTTGTTAGAATTTCATATATATAGAATTGTACAGAATATACTTGTTTGTATCTGGCTTCTTTCCTTGTTGCTGTTGTTAAGTGCTATAGAGTTGGTTCCGACTTATAGTAGCCCCATGCAAAGGAACAAAATAGTGCCCGATACTGCGCTACCTGCACCATCCTTACAATTGGTATGTTTGCCCATTGCTACTGCCACTGAAATCAGGTCACCATGGGTGACTTTGCTGGTCTTTAAAATATGGTGGCATGGCTTCCAGAATCACAGCAACACGTAAACCACCACAGTACGACAAAGTGACAGATGAGTGGTAAACTTGTGTGATGGGGAAGGCACTATACAAGAAAGAGATTGGCATAGGAAAGATGAAGATAATGGAAGGTACAGGGAGGAGTGCAAGAATTAGAGGTAAATACTGTTAACTGATAGTACATGGAAGGGACTGCAATCATTGTAATGACAGGAAGTGTATGATTTGTTGAATGTGGGTCTGATGTTCTGTAAACCTTCACTCAATTCACAATAAAAAGCCTTAAAAAAAGAAAAAAAAAGAAAGGCACAGTGATCACAGAAGGCAGAGTGATCATATACTTTGCTAATCAGGAAAAAGAAATACTTGAAACAAAGCAAAACTTCTGCCTCTAGGGAGAATTCTGGTAAAGAGCCCTTGTGAAGAGAATGATATGCCTGATCATTCTGTGTGTGATACAGAACAAATAGCATTCTCTGCTAAGGGCCTGCAATCTTCAATCTTGGCTGAGTGGTGACTGTTATTATGGACTGAATATATAAAGATGCTTGCTTGGACTTTTCTTCTGTTTTAAATAAAGTCTCTAGTTCCACAGATGCTGGCTGTGTAATATAATACCACAGGTAGAGCATAAACAGTGAGCAAATGTTATATGGACTATTGTTGCTGTAGGATAAACACTAGACTACTAACCACAAGGTTAGTGGTTGAAATCCACCAGTTGGTCCTTGGAAGCACTATATAAGGTCGCTATGCATCAGACTCTACGGTACTTAAAAACAGCAATAATATAGCACTTTAGGAAAGTTACACATTAGGAAAGTCTTTAACCTCCACCTCATAGGGCTCAATCTTGTGCTGAACTTTCTAACTAACTATTGTTGCACGTTGTGCCAAAACAACTCCTTGAGAGTTTTCCTCTTTTTCACCAACTCTCTATCAAGCATGATGTCCTTTTTCAAGGACTGGTCCTTCCTGATAACATGTTCAAAGTATGTGAGATAAGGCCTCACCATTCTTGTTTCTAAAGAACAGTCTGGCTGTACTTCTTCTAAGATAGACTTGCTCCTTCTTCTGACAGTCCATATTCAATATTCTTCAGCAGTACTAGAATTCAAATGCATCAACTCTTCTTCAGTTTTTCTTATTCATTGTCCAATGCACATATGAGACAACTGAAAACATCATGGCTTGGTTCAGGTGCACCTTAGTCTTCAGTGACATTTTTGCTCTTTAACACTTTAAAGTCTTTTGCAGCAGATTTGCTTAATGCAATATATGTCTTTGACTTCCTAAGTGCTGCTTCCATGGGTGTTGATTATGAATCCAATCAAAATGAAGTCTTTGACAACTTCATTCTTTTTTCCATTTATCAGGATGCTGCTTATTGAACTGGTTGTGAGGATCTTTGTTTTCTTTATGTTGAGGTAATCCATATTGAAGGTTAGGTTATAGAAATGAAGGTTAGGTTACAGAAATGAAGAGAGAAAACCAACATCTCACATCTCAACAACATTAGGAACTCAAGACTAAAATCTAGTCCAGAGACACAATTAGATATCTTACGCACCTGTACTAATCTGACTCTAGCTCTCTGAACCACTGTCATGGGAAACAATCTGAGGCTATGACTAGACTTAGTAAACAAATGTTGGAACCACTTGGCAAGTTCTGCAATAAACATAGGATGATAACTTAGCACCTTAGAACTTTGCTGCTACCCAAAAAGTTGGTGCTAGGATTGACCAGAACTCTGCAGGAGAGAAGTCCTAGCAATCTGCTCCTGTAAAGATTTCACACCAAACCCACTGCCGCTGAGTCACCTCAGACTCACAGAAACCTACAAGACAGAATAGAATTGCTCCATAGGGTTTGTTGTTGTTGTTGAGTGCTGTAGAGTCATTTCAGACTCAGGGCAACCCTGTATAGGATTTCCGAGGAACGACTGGTGACCTTGAACCACTGACCTTGTGGTTCAAATTGACTTTGCAGTCAAGAGCATTCATCCACAGTGCCACACTACAGGGTTTACAAGACTGTAAATCTTTATGGAAGCAGACAGCCTCAGCTCTTTCCTTCAAAGTGGTTTGTGGGTTCAAACAGCCAACTTTCGGTCAACTGCCCAATGTTCAACCTACTATGCCACCAGGGCTCCTTTTGTAAATGTCATAGCCTTGGATGGAATAGCTCTACTCTGACAGATAGGGTAGCTATGAGTTGGAATTGACGCAACAGCTCACCAGAACAACAATCTAGTGACAAGGAACCCTAGTGGTACCACGGTTAAGTGCTTAATTGCTAACCGAAAAGTCTATAATTCAAATCCACCCAACAACATCAAATCTGTTCCCGTAAGTTACAACCTAGAAAAGTTTAAGAGGGCAGTTCTGTCATAGGGGGTCACTTGAGTTACAATGAATCCCACAGCATACAACAATCTAGTAACAAGAATCCCTTCAAATAGTTAAGAGCTTTACTACTAGCTGATAGGTTAGGGAGTCAAATTCATCCAGGGGCACCTCAGATAACAGGTCTGGAAATCTAATTCCAAAAGGTTCCAGCCTTGAAAATCCTATAGAACAGTTCTATGCTGCAGGCATAGGGTAACCAGGAGTCAAAATCAACTCAACAACAATCTAGTGACAAGTGCAGACTTTCTATGTGCACTGAGTCTTAGATCCCCATCCCTATTCCCAGGAAAATTTACTAAGCCAAGAGTTATGAACCTATTAGGAATCTGAAACAAAATCTGAAGTATGATTGATATGTTTTCTTAGTGTTTTGATACTAACAAACTTTATGCCTGCTATGAAATCTAAAAATAAGTCAACCACTTAGTATTTGAGCTTTGTGATAAAAGGGCGATGAATGATAATACCTTGCTATTTTGAAAGTCCTCAAAAAATCTTTTGAGAAAATAACTGAACCCTTATTCTAGAAGTATTAAAAAAAAAAAAGAAAGAAAGAAAAAAAAAAACTTACAACAGAGAAGACAACGTCAGTGGTGTAAATGATATGCATTGTTGCTTCCCTACCTTGAAAAAGTTAGGCTGAGTTCATGAATCAATGGTTCTGGGTGACATGCACGACCCCTTGCACAACCATAATTTCTGTTGCCACAATTTCTGTTGTACCCTCTATTCCTAACTCAGACAAGGAATCAGAACCCAAACCCTAACTACCTCTACTTACTAAGGAGCCCTGATAGCTTAGTAGATTGCAAGCTGGACTGCTAACTCCAAGGTCAGCAGTTTGAATCTATCAGCCGCTCCATGGGAGAATGATGAGGCTTTCTGCTACCATAAAGACATGCAGCCTCGGAAACCCTTTATAGGGTTTCTGTGAGTCAGAACCGACTCAATGGCACACAACAACCACTACCACTTCTGCTTACTAGATTCTACC